CACTTGAGCCACAGGCGCTGAGCCGATAAATGTTTTTTAATGTTAATTATTTTATGCTTAAACCTCCAAACGATCCCAGAAAGTCAATAATCAGAAGTTAAAGTCCTTTATTGGGGGATGTCAGCAGAAAACAGGACATGGGAATAAGTCTTAGGGCAAAAGAGCCTATCCTGGGAGAATAAGGTTCCCCAGCCAGTGCAAAATGTTAGGGGGTCCCCAGGGGTATGGTGAAGGAGAGGTAGTCCCCTAGGGCACCCCAGCGGGGCCTGTAGATCTGGAAGATGGTGATCCATGTGGTGAGCACAATCACCCAGAAGAGGAAGCCCACAGCTGAGCGCCAGACATCTGTAATGGGGAACAGGAGTGGGTAAGGTTGGCCTCCAGCTGCTTTCTGGATTACCCTATACTGGTCTTCTCTCCCATAGAGGCCCCAAATTCTGGAGCCTCTATCATCCCTTCCCACTAAGGCTCCGTGCTACCCCCATCCCTCCCCACTGGTCTCCCTTCATCTGTATACTAGACTTACAGCCTTTGATTTGGCTCTGCTCTGTGTAAGCTGGGACAAGGAAGGCCTCTCGGAAGAACCAGAAGATGTTAACCAACCAGAGAAAAGGCAGGAAAGCAAACCCACCTGGGGGGGAAAAAGTACACACGCTGGGTCCTAAAGGCAACAAGGATCTTCCCCCAACTCCCCCCTACAAGAACTATTTGTTAGAAACTCTCCTACACTCAAGTTCAAATGGAGTTATCTGCTGTCAGGGGCTTCAGAATCCTGGCTCCTCCCTGGGATCCAGGAATGTGACTCCTCAACCGCCTTTCTCAGGACGCAGGATTCCAGTCTCCAAACCTGCTCCTCTCTTCAGACTCAATAGTTAAGACCTCAGTTGCCTCTTCTTAGGACCCAGGCCGTCCCTCCTTCGCTCAGACCCAGGAGTAGGTGTTCAGATGCCTCATCTCTTAACACCCACGAATCCAGATCCCTACACTTCTTCCCTCAGATGACCCAGTCCAGTTTCCTCTTGTCTTCTGAGATCTTAAGGTATCAGCCCTTACCCAGGTAGTATTTCCGGCACAGGTTCAACTTCTCCTCATTGGACACCCGCTCCAAGTTCATAGTTGCTCTGGGGGCTGGTCGTCCCAAGGGTCGGTCTGAGGGGTGAGACCCAAGCCTTGACCCTAAGTGACAGATGCGAGAATCACGAACAACCACGCCGCTAATATAACAAATCAGAGACATAGTTAAAGGTTAGATTGCTGAAAGAAGAGCTTTCCCGCCCCCATCAGCTGGTTGGGTTGAGCAGCTTTTTATGTTTATTGGGTTGCGCGAAACGACCCCAACTCACCAGTGGAGCTTACTTCCTCCGGCTGGGTTGTCTTTGCTACTCTCAGCTATACACTTTCGGTCGAGATGCCCAAGGTTTCTCTGGAGTTCGTAGATTTTTATTTATTATTTATTTTTTGGCTGCAGCAACGCGGTACGCATGCGCCTTCACAGAACACTGGGTGGTGATTCTGAGGGTGCGGTCCTCTAACACGCAAGCGCACTAGAGAGTTTCTGAGCACATGATGCACACAGCGACAGCCAAGAACTACACTTCCCAGCGCTCCTATGCAACGGAAGTGACGTGAGCAGGAGACAATTGGAGGATTCGAGTAAAAATGGCTTTATATTTAGCTTCGATATTCGGGACTGAGAAAGACAAGTGAGAACGGGCGCAGGAAGTGTCATCTCGCAGGGTAGAGCCGGGACACTTGGGTCCTTGGTGGCTGGGCGGGAGGCTCGGGGCTGTGTTTCTAGGGTATCCAGCTTCTCCGGTCCTCAGTTCACCTCTAACTTTGTGCCTCTTCCAGGGTTGACTCCCTTCTTACTTTAATATCAGAGCCTGCCGGCGCGGGGACCAATACCTCGACTTCACAGCAAACCGACTTTCAGCCAGGTGAGACTCGGTACGGAACCCTGGGGTTAATGCGTCCGGGTCTTTCCCCTCCTGCTGTCCATCATCACGAGGTCCCGCCTTTTCCGGTTTCTAAGCCTTTCCGTGCCGCCCTACTTTTTACTGATCAGACTTCTCTGTAGGTTCTTGCCCCACCCTTCAGGCCCTTCTCTCAGGAGCTTGTCCCCGCATGTACAGACTACACTCCTGGACTACATACACATTACTATTAGTATCCCTCCACCACCTTTTAGTTTTTTAGGGGCAGGGATCGCTGATGCATTTTGATGCTCAGGTTCCTCTGGTGCAAGGTCCCACCCCCAGCCTTCATACCTGGCTTTTTTTGCATACAGCCCTGCCCTCTGAGCTCGGACGCTGCCCCGTTTAAAATTCTGTGCAGTCCACAGTGTTGCTCAACCTGAACACAACCCAAACCGTAGACGGATCACACTGTGCGTGAGGGACCAGGCCTAGGGACAGGGCAGACAGCCCCAGCAGGCCAGCCCTGATTCTACCCTTCTCCCCTCCTCCAGGTCACTCAAGTAACATGAGGTGCAGGAACACTATGATAACTTAGTCGAAGTGAGGGTTGCTGGGGTTAGTTGAACTTCTTGTGAGGCCAGGAGCTCAGCTGAGTTTCTCACTGTCTTCCACAGGAGGTGTTCACGGAACTGCATGAGAAGTACAGGAGATTGAAGAAATGAATATGTATGAAAACCTGGGCGACCACCTCATGGACAATGTCTATGTCAGGGTCCTTTGCTGTCCCTCCCTTAGAGCCCAGAGGTGAAAGCTTTCAATGCCTCATGACCACCTCTGAAACCTCACAGCTTGAAAGGCTCATCACTAAATTCAGCCCAGCCCCAGAGCTGGTAACTAGTCCCCTGAAGATCTCCAGTTTCTGCTGCTGACCCTGATGGACTTTTCTCTCAGTTCTGACAGGCAGTAGCTGACCTCAATACTGCTGGTTAAATGGGCAGGCTATGTGTGCTGAGTTGTCTCCTGTCAACTGACTTCTGGGAGTCATGCTTTCAGCAGTAAGAGATGGGGTATGGTGGTGTAAGGATGGATTGGATGCATTGAGCCCCAGATTCTTGAGTATGTGTTGAGGGCTCATAGTGATAATTACCTCCTCCATCTGTCTGCCCTCTGCCTAGGGAATGTACCTATGATGGCTTCTGCAACTTCATGCTCCTAGGACCATTTCCTAGAACCTCCATTGGCAGCTCTGTGGGTGGGGATCCAGGTACAGGTACCTCAGACCCAGCCTGCTAAGACTCCTTACCAGGTGTCCTCAAACTATAGCCCACAGGCCTCATGCAGCCCACCTAGGACATTTATCCGGCCTGCTGGGTGATTTTGCCACCACTGCCTGTCCTGCTTCGCAGCTGACTCGTCCAGGGGCCTGCAGTCTGGCCCTCCAACTGTCTGAGGGACAGTGAACTGGCCCCCCGTTTAAAAAGTTTGAGGACCCCTGCATACCCTAAGGTCCCTATACCCTGAGACGAGCCTACCCTAAACATCCCAAGACTTCAATACCCTTAGGAATAGTCATGAGCCTCACCTGGAGATCAGCACCTAAGTTCTAATTCCAAAATTAGCCTAAACCCCAAACCCAAGGCCAGCCCTGTATCTCCAACCCCTGATATTAGTCATTGAGTACCTATCCTGAGACCACCTCCTAGGACTCTAATTATTTCAGCAATTATCTTGTCCCATCCCAGGGCACACAGGCAGGCCAGGGGTTCTTTGCACTACTCCTCACAGCTCTGACCCAACTCTCTCCAGGTCACTGTGGAGGTCCCTTACTGCCTGTCATCCTGAGAAAGGTACCAGCATGTTCCCCAGAGCACCAGCATGGTTGCTTCTGAGACTCTTGGTCCCTTCCCCTTTATCTCTGAAAAAGAAAGATGTTCTGGCCAGGACCCTTCTTCAAAGCCCCCTTGAATGTAGTCTGTTCGGCAGAGACCTCCTACTAACCTTCACCTAATAAAGTTCTATATCAAGCATTTAGAGATTTGTTACTGGAGTTTCCTTCCACCCACACATCTGACAAATGATGAAAAGAGGAAGTAGTCTGGGCTGTAGCCACAACATCGACTGAGGAACTTCGAACAAGTGGTAAAGCAGCCAACTCAGGGCCTATGCCCCTAATGGTTTAGGTAAGGTGGGGATACTTTTGTGATAGAAATCTCAGTACCTCCGTCTGAATGAAGCTTTTTCAAGGGAGAGATGCCTGGTTTGTGGCAGGTTGGAGGAGTCCTAGCCCAGAGATTGGGGTTAGGAGCTAAAGTGAGCTGGCTGGGAGTTGGGTGGGTGTCCCAAGGGAGTAAGAGGCTAGGTCTTTGAGGTCTGTCACCCTGAGATAGGCGTTAATAGTACCTAACCCTTAAATTGAGTTTACCATGTCAGCTGCCGTACTAACGGTTTAGTGTTTTGTTTTGTTTTGTTTTGTTTTTGAGATGGAGTTTCACTTTGTCACCTTTAGTAGAGTGCCGTGGCATCATGGCTTACAGCAACCTCAAACTCTTGGGATTAAGTGTTTCTCTTGCCTCAGCCTCCAGAGTAGCTGGGACTACAGGCACCCGCCACAATGCCCGGCTGTTTTTAGAGACGAGGTCTTGATCTAGCTCAGGCTGGTTTTGAAGCAGTAAGCTCAGGCAGTCACCCGTCTCAGCCTCTCAAGAGTGCTAGGATTATAAGAGTGAGCCACCGCTCCCAGGCTTACTTTTTTTGTTTTTGGGGGTGTTTTTTGAGACAGAATCTCAAGCTGTCACCCTGGGTAGAGTGCTGTAGCATCATAGCTCACAGCAACCTCAAACTTCTGGGCTTAAGCGATTCTCTTGCCTCAGCCTCCCAGTAGCTGGGACTACAGGAACCCGCCACAACACCTGACTATTTTTTTGGTTGCAGTTGGCCTGGCTGGCCCCCTTTGAACCCACCGGCCTCAGTGTATGTGGCTGGTGCCATAACCACTGTGCTATGGGCACCGAGTCACTTTTTTTAATAAGAGATCTTGGTATGTTCAGGCTGGCCTTGAACTCCTGGACTATAGGGATCCTCCCACCTTGGCCTCACCACCCCATCCAGCAAAATGCTTTACTACATTTTTTTCTTCCTTCCTTCCTTCCTTCCTTTTTTCTTAAGAGATGGGGGTCTCTCTATGTACGAGGTAGAGTGCAGTGGCATGATCATTGCTCACTGCAGCTTCCAAATGCTGGACTCAAGCGATCTTCCTGCCTCTGCCCAGTAAATTCTAGTAACCGTTCTGATTCTCCACAATAACTCTATGAAACAGGTGCTATTATTGTCTCATTTTAGGGCTAGAAAATGGAGGGTGGGTAGATGAGGACATGGCAGAAGTGGTTTTCAAAGGGTCTGGGAATCCTGTCACCCCACACCCACTGCCTCCTTCGCTTAAGTGCGACATAGGCGCTGTGGTTGGAAGATCTGCGATTAAGGCCACCTAGGCTTCAGTCCCCTGTCTGATGGGGCCCAGACGCCTCCTGGTGACAGCTGTGCTGCTACTGGCCCAGGCGGCGCCGCGGGAAGCTTCTGAGTACTGTGGCCGCCTAGAGTACTGGAACCCAGACAACAAGTGCTGCAGCAAGTGCCTGCAGCGCTTCGGGCCACCCCCCTGCTCAGGTGAGAAGCCGGGAGCTTAAGTCAGAGAGGAGCTAGCGGGAGATGGGGAGCGGAGGAAAAGGCGATGTTTCTGGGAGACAGGCCAGTGAGGCTTGGATAGGGGTAGGGTCGGTGGGCCGTACGTGGATACGATAGGGATGGTGGACTGAGCCTGTGTGGAACGGCAGTGTGGGTTAGGATGGATAGTAACGAAGGGATGTGGCCGGAGAGGCGGGATATTGGCCGCTCAGAAATAGTGAGCTCTAGGTAGGTTAAGTCCGGGCGTGGGCGGAGCTCAGCGCAGAGCAGTAGGCGAATAAAAAGGAGCAAACCGGTGAAGTGTGGCGAAAAGGGAGGGGCCTGTGTAAAGACAGAGAGCCGGGGCGTACGCTGATAAGTTACCCGAGTATAGAAGGGCGGGACCTAATGGGAGGGGGAAAGAGAAAAGGCGTCGCCAGAGCAGCGGAGGCGGGGCTCGGCGGCCACACTAGAACCTGCCTTCCGTTAGACTACGAGTTCGTGGAAAACTGCGGGTTCAATGACTACGGCGATCTCCTAACATACCCGTTCAAAGAGTGTTCACCTGGGAAGTGCAACCCCGACGGCGCGGAACTGTGTAGCCCCTGCGGTGGCGGAACCACGGCTCCTACCACTGCCTTGAGCCGGGTCAGAAGCCCGTGGCGCTGCAGAGAGGTGCTAGAAGGCGTTGCGGGTCGGGAGGGGGCGGGGAAGTAGGGCGTGGCTTGAGATCGGACGGGCGGGGTCTGCAACTAGGAAGAGGATGTAGCCCCATTTAAGAAGGTAGGACTGGGCAGTAGAAGTATCAGGTGGGGAACCTTAAGGCGTTGGGGCTGAGGGGCCTAGATCAGGCAGAGAATGTGACCCCATTGAAGGATGACAGTTTTGGGTTGAGGGGGCAGGAGTGGAGTGTGGTACCCCTCTTTACTCCAATCTCCTACTCCTACAGAAGCCAGTCCCTACAAAGGGGCGCTGCACACTGACATCTGGAAAAACAAATGCCCCCAGTTTCTGGGAGACCAGCTCACCAGCAAGTTCCAGTTCCTTCTGGACACCCGAGGCCAACGTCTCTCAGCAGGCCATGACGAGTTTTGTCCTGGCCTTGGTGTTGGTCCCGCTCCTGATCTCAGCAGTGATAGTGATCCTCCTGCTGGCTGTGCGGAGGCACCTCTCCCGGTCCAAGAGAAGGGTCTCCTTTCCTCCTCCTGGCTTGGTTTGTGAAAGCCACAGCACCCACACCCTTGCCTCGCACTCTCCCCCAGGCACCGTGGAGGCGTGGGAGACAGAGAAGGTGTGGAAGGGTGTCTCTCTGCTTCCACTCCTGAGCAAGGGTCAGTTGAGGAGGAACCCAGTGGGGGAAGGTGGACTGGGAGCCCACCCTTCCTCCACCTTTACTTTTTCCTCTATCTCTCAGAACTGCCTAGTCTGGCGTCACAGCCTCTATCTCGCCTCCTGGATGAACTAGAAGTGCTGGAGGAACTGATTGTACTGCTGGACCCTGAGCCTGGCCCAGGTGGAGGCACGTCCTGTGGCACTACTCGACACCTGGCTGCAAGATACGGGATGCCTGCTACCTGGTCCACATTTACTTACTCTCTACGGCCAAGTCGTTCACCACTGCGGGCTCTGATTGAGCTGGTGGTGGCAAGGGAGCCTTCTGCCTCTCTGGGCCAGCTTGGGGCACACCTAGCCCAGCTAGGGCGGGAAGATGCACTGCAGGTGTTATCCAAGCTTGGCTGAGCTGTGGTTTGCTAAGCCTAGTACTCAAATATTATTTCTTTCAAAATAAATGCATAATAAATGCAAAATAAATGGCCTTTCTCAGGGTCTTGGTTTTTTTTTTTTTCTTTTTTGAGCCAGGATCTCACTCTATAACCTAGGCTGGAGTACAGTAGCATAATCATAGTTCAAGTAACCTGGACTCCTGGGCTCAAGCAAGCCTCTCACCTCAGCTTCCCAAGTAGCTGTGGCTACAGGTGTGCACCACTGCACCCAGCTAATTTTTAATTTTTTTTTTGTAAAGATGAGGTCTATAGGCTATGTTGTCCAGGATAGTCTCCGACTCCTTGCCTCAAGCAATCCTCCCAACCTTGGCCCCAAAGTTGAAGGATTATAGGTGTTAAGCCCCTAGCCAGCCAAATATAATCTTTTTTTTTTTTTTTTTTTTGAGATGGAGCCTCAAGCCTTCCCCCCGGGGTAGAGTGCCATGGCATCACGCTCACAGCAACCTCCAACTCCTGGGCTCAAGCAAGTCTCTTGCCTCAGCCTCCCAAGTAGCTGGGACTACAGGCGCCCGCCACAGCGCCCGGCCATTTTTTGGTTGCAGCCATCATTGTTGTTTGGCGGGCCCGGGCTGGAGATTCAAACCTGCCACCTTAGGTGTATGTGGCTGGTGCCTTAGCTGCTTGAGCCACAGGCGCCGAGCCGCCAAATATAATCTTAATTAGACCAAGACTCAAAAGACATCTTAATTTCCTTCCTCCCAGAAGGGCCCATTCCAACATACACATTTGACATGTGGGAGAGTTGGCCCTGGCTGCCTCTGGGTAACCAGAGTCTCCTCTGAGCAACAGCCCTGCTACCCCTGAGAGAGCTCATCCACTCTGTTCCAAATTGAAAAATGTAAAACGTGTTGTTCTGAAGCCCATAATTTTACTCTTGAATGATGACCTCCCACCTACCTGTTGAGGCTGACAAACTTCTTGGCTCAGGATGGGTGTGGGGTATAGGAGAAGCAGGAGTTCCTCCTTGCCCCCAGCACCCTACAAATAGGAAGACAACCTCTCCAAACATTGACAGACTTTATTGTGGGGGGTTCCCACCCGGGACCCCACCCTCTTAAATAAAAAAGTGCATAGAAAAGAAGGGATTTAGAAATCTTTGTACAATATCTACATCCTGGGCCCCCAGGGCAGGAAGGGGGCAATTGCTGGGTGGGCTAGAGGGACAGAGGCAGGGCCCTTGCCACCTGCATGCCCACATCCACCCTGAACATGAGGGTAGGAGTGAGATGCTCTGGGAAGGATTAGGGAATCCCCGGGCTGGGGCAAGATGGCAGCAGGAGGTGTGAGGGGTCGTGGTGGGCGGCCACGGCCTCAGTTAAGGAACCGGCGGCAGCGCTTGGCGCCACAGTTGCAGGGCAGCTTGTTGCTGGCATCCTCAATGGGGAACTTGTAGTCATAGGTGAGCTCTTCACCACGCAGGATGCGACGTAGGGCAAAGATGACAATGTGTTTCTGGCCCTCCACGTGGATGACACGAGAGAAGCAGTTGGGCTCACACGAGTGGTTGATGAAGCGCGCTGCGTTACCATGCATTGTGGCATCCACCACGTCAAAGTCATCCATGCGAAACATGTAGCACCCGATGCCCTGCAGGGGTAGGGTGGGAGGAATCAGGTGCTCTGTCCCCATATCTGGCCCCATTTCACCCACCTCATTCCCATTGTGAGCACCTTCCCATCGTAGTACTTCTCCCGCTTGTCAGTCAGCACAGACCGAATAACGATACCAGAGTATTCGATGACCATCTCACCGGCATCGATATTGCGCTTACAGAACAGGCCTCGCCCGTGGATAGCAGATCTGCAGGGTAAGATGAATAAGGGGGAACTCAGGGATTATGGGGACAGAAACCAGGCAGCCCTCTACCAGTGCACCTGTCCATCCACCCAAGGGGCATCCTCCCCCCCAACCCCACTAACCTGTAGACACCAACAGCCTCTTTGGATGTCTTCTTGAGGTGACGAAAACGCATGGCCATGGGCAGCTCCAGGCTGGTGGCACGTCTGGTGAGGGACAGCAGTATCACACAGGCTAGTACCCCAGGTATGACCCTTCTCAATCCTGGTCACCCTCTTTAGGACTCTTCCAGACCACCCCCACACCCCAGCTTGTCCCATACCTGGTTGATCTCAGCTGTACCTCATCTTCTTCCTCATCACAAGTGGCCCCCTCAGGGAGCACCCGGTGCTGGGAGGCCAGGAAATTGAACATGTCAAAGGTGCACTTCCTGCAGGTGGGAGGGAGGAAGGGAGGAAGGGAGGAAGGTTCATTGCCATTCCTTTAAGGAGATGCTGCCTACTCATTCTTTGATCAGGACTTGCTGCTGGTAGGGTAGGAGAAATATGCTTATGGAAGACACAGCCAGAGGGGAAGTGGGTGGGGTTCATTCTTATGGTGTGACCCCCAGGCCTCAGTTTCTAACTGGTACAGACTTTAATTCCCACCCTCAAGACTTCCCATGGGGCTCTCCTGACCCAGGCACTATACCCCAGACCTCTCACCGGAGATAGACCTCAGCACGAGCAGCCCCATGGGGATTCAGGGGCGGTTCCTCCTGGCCCTCTCCCTGCTGGTGGTAGCGGAACTTATAGTGCTGGCAGCGCTGGGCCCCGGGTAGCTGCTCTGCCAGGAAGATGACAGCATCGTGGTGGATGCCTAGGAGCCTTGCCCCACTCATTCCTAAGGAGACAAGATGAGGATATGCCAGTCCTAAGGGCCCATCTTGCCCTCTGGGAGTCATCCCTGCCCCCCAGTATCCCCATGGACTTACCACTAAAGGAGAGGTGCCTGAGCCGGGCGTGTCCTCGGGCCTCCTGCACCTTCTCAATCAGAGTTCTCCACGCCCCTGGAGAGAGGGCAAGGCCAGAGCAGAGTCAGGATGTTGTTTTATGGACACTTTCCCTCCTGCCACTGCTCCTTCCAGCTCACCCTCCAAGCTCTCTGCCTCCACGCTGAACCCATCCTCACTGCTGATCTCAAAGCGCAGATGGGGGCCAGTCCGTTTCGGGGCCTGGTTCTCTTTATCCTCTGGGGATGGAGGCTCTTCCTCAGAGCTTGAAGCTTCACCTGGTCCCAAGGAGCAGGTAGGATAAATGAGGATCACCTTTCCTGGACTCAAAAGCCCCTCACTCCCCACCGCCCTGCTAGCAGACACCACTCTCCCTCCCCCCAGACAAAGGCACTGGTATCTAATGGCCCTCCTGCTCCAATTGCCCAGGGAGGCTAAAGTTCCTAGGCTAACAGGTGCCTGCAGTTCCTTTCCTGCAGGGTTTCTTGGCAGGAGAGCACTCCATGGGAGATTAGACTATTTTAGCTCTGCAGGACACACCTATGGCACACAGACCCAGTCTACTTTTTAAATGCCCATATAACCATCATTACTGTTTCTCATACAAAATTAAAAATACTGAAAAATTATGCTTTGTATATGACTTTTTTATATACAGCAAATTTCTGTTAAGTATTATAAATATAGGCTGGACGTGGTGGCTCACGCCTATAATCCCAGCACTCGGAGGGGAGGGGCTGAGATAGGAAGATTGCTTGAACTCAGGAGTTCAAGAGAAGCCTGAACAAAAGCAAGAACCTATTTTCTACTAAGAATAGAAAAACCAGCCAGGTGTTGTGGTAGGTGCCTGTAGTCCCAGATACTCAGGAGGCTGAGGCAGGATCACGTGAACCTAGGAGACTGAGGTTGCTATAAGCTAGGCTGATACCACACCATTCTAGTCTGGGCAACAGTGAGATGCGGTCTCAAAAGAAAAAAAAAATGATTACAAGAATTATATAGACTTACATGCACAGAGCCAAGTACGCTGTATAGCATGAGCTATTTAAAGGATTTCTCAGAGGTTAATACTTTTTTTTTTTTTACAGTTTTTGGCTGGGGCTGGGTTTGAACCCACCACCCCAGGCATATGGGGCTGGCACCTTACTCCTTTGAGCCACAGGCGCTGCCTAGGGGTTAATACTTTTTTTTTTTAATTTTTTGAGACAGAGTCTCATTTTGTTGCCCTCAGTAGAGCACTATGGTGTCACAGCTCACAGCAACCTCCAACTCCTCGGCTTCGGCAATTCTTGTGCCTCAGCTTTCCAAGTAGCTGGGACTATAGGCACCTGCCACACGCCCGGCTATTTTTTTTGTTGCAGTTTGGCTGGGGCCGGGTTTGAACCCAACACCCTTGGTATACAGGGCCAGCGCCCTACTCACTGAGTCACAGGTGCCACCCAGGGGGTTATACATTTTAACAACATAGCAGACAGGAGCTGCTGATGTAGCATATGCAGATATGAGAGAAAGCAGGATGGACAAACACAACTCTGAGATGTGAGGCTGAATAAGTGGAAGGATTAAACTGCTAATGACTGAGATCGTGAGGGGAAGGGAAAAATGAGTTTGGGGTGAAGGCAGAGGGCTCAGTTTGGGATATGCTGACTTTGAGATGACTCTTAGAAAACCTCCCCCTGTAACATGCTGGTGGAGGTTTGAGCAGGCAGTAGGCTATATGAGCTTGGAATTTAGGGACCAGGTCTAGGCTGCAAAGAACAACATGGAAACTATCAGAATACACATGGGATTTAGAGCCATGAAGGTAGATGACAGCATCTGGGTGTGCAGATACTGAAGTCAAAGTTGGGGTCTTGGGACACATCAAAATTGACAGGCTGGGACAAGGAGGTGGTATGACCAGAAAGGTGAGATGAGAAGAGAATGTGGCTGGAAGCCAGGGAAGAAAGTGCTTCAAGGGGGAAGAGATGGGCTGCACTGAATGCTGTTGTTGGTTGAAGTGGGATGTGGTTGAGGACTGACCAATGCGTCTGGTGGGGGAAGGGCACGAAAGTCTGAGTGGAACATGCTTTAGGAGAGGTGGGGCTCCCACAGCCACACTCTTTCCATATCATTCCTCTGGGTCAACCTGCCACTCTCTCCCCACTGAGACTCTAAACTGGACTCTTGCAGGGTGACTGACATCACCTCCAGTCAGGCCTCAGAGTTTACCTCTAACAACTTCTTAGCCTCTTCTCTTACCCCTCTTTTCATCCTCATCTCATTCTGAACACGACAGGCCTGAGTACAGGGCCCTACCCAGGCACTCCCGTGCTTGCTTTTTCACAGAACTCATGCCAATCTGCAGTGCGCTTGTTTGTTCTTTTTTTTTTTTTTATCACCCTCAATAGAGTGCCGCAGCGTCACACAGCTCACAGCAACCTCCAACTCCTGGGCTTAGGCGATTCTCCTGCCTCAGCCTCCCAAGTAGCTGGGACCACAGGCCACAATGCCCAGCTATTTTTTGTTGCAGTTTGGCCAGGCCTGGGTTTGGGTTTGAACCCACCACCTTCGGTATATGGGGCTGGTGCCCTACCTACTGAGCAACAGGCACCGCCCTGTTTTTTTCTTTTAAACAAAAGTGCCACTCTGTTGCCCTGGGTAGAGTGCTGGGGTGTCTTCATAGCTCACAGCAATCTCAAACTCCTGGGCTCACATGATCCTCTTGCCTCAGCTTCCCAAGTAGCTAGAACTATAGGCGCCCACCAGAATGCCTGGCTAGTTTTTCTATTTTTAGTAGAGATGGGTTCTCACTCTTGTTCAGGCTGTTCTCAAACTCCTGAGCTCAGGTGATCTGCCCGCCTTGGCCTCCCAGAGTGCTGTGATTACAGGTGTGAGCCACCGTGACCAACTTGCAGTGAGCTTGTTAACACACATATGTCTGTTTCTCCCTGCTAAAATGTGGTATGGTCCCCAAGGTCAGCAACTTGTCTGTCATGGTCACTGGCATATCTGGATGCCATCTCTAACCCCCAAAGCGGCCTCTCAGTTAAGTAGTCTTAGTTCACCTCACTGCATTTCCAGAACTGGATGCTACACTCTATATAATGAGACAACTCAAATATCTAGACAGGACAGGCCACAACAGACTCTGAACCTCAGGCTGCTTGACTACTAACCTACCTGGCCAAAGCCCACTCACTCAGTGACCAACAGGGAACTTCACTTCCAGCTCCATTGAGTCCACCAGCCAAAACTACTCCAAGTGCCCCCACCCTGTATATTAAGGTCTCTGCATAGACACCCACCTCACCTCCTTCCCTGTGTCTTCAGGGTCACCTGTTCTCCAGCCACCATGCTGGCTCCTACCTCCTTTCTCACCCACAACTACCTTTCCCCTCATTCTGGCTTCGCTGTCTCAGCCCTCACCCCAAACATCTCTAACCTGCTGCCCCACCTCCTCCCCGTGAGGCTTAGCTGAACTTTTTGGCGAGGTGCCTGGGGTTGTTTTGGCTTCCTTAGCACACTGTCTTCAATTCTAGACTCTGACATAACATCCTCCCTACCCTGGCACTATCTGTGGCAGCTGGGACTGCAGAGTACTCCCTCCTCCTGGACTCTGGGACATCACTCCCTTCTCACTTTCTTCCCGTTGTTCCTCCTCTCATCTGGGTCCTAAGTGGGCTCCCTCTTCTCTGGACCATCTCAGAACTTCATCTTTGGCTTTACCCAGGAGTACCCAGGAGTACCCAGACTCCTGACCCTGGCAGGCCCAGCATCTCTGTAACTCTTAATGCCTAGCCTTGAGCATGCACGTTTTTTTTTTTTTT